GACTAAAACCAGGTCTAAACTAGATCTAAACCAGGTCTAAACCAAGACCAAAACCAGGACTAAACTAGATCTAAACTAGAAAAGCACTCAGAGAGCGCAGACCTCCGCCAAGGACTACCCCCATTTTTGATATAAATTGCGATAAAATCATCAGATCCGGATCAGCCTTTCCCATTGGACTAAACCAGGAATAAATCTGTCACGTGGAAACAGAGGGAGGACCCAAAACGCAGGACTGCTTCAAAAATATTTAATGACAAATCAAAAATTCCAAAACTCAAGACTAAATTGCCATGACAATGAGACACAGAGACAATGGACCAACAAAGGGCAGAGGAGAACACAGGGTATAAATGCGCACACACAGACACAGGTGAAACACATTAGGGCGGGGCAAACAATCAAGACAGGAAGTAAAACTCAAAAATACAAGGTGACAGGACAAATGTCAAAATAAAACACAAACTACAACCACTACAAAACATGAACCATGACAAAACCAGGACTAAAACAGGATTTAACAGGACTAAACCATGCCGTGCGGACCGTGTTTCCTCCTCTTCTGTCAATAATATTTTTAATCTGGTTAAGGAAAGTCTGTGCTTTTTATTGTCTTTTAGCAGACAAAACTTCTTATGTGAAGATTTCCTCGTCTTTGCTACTTTACAGCAAATCAAATAATCCAAAGTATTCAGATTATGTTACTCACTATAAGTAATTTAATGGATTACGTTACAAACTACATTTTGGGGTATGTAATCTGTAATCTGTAAGGGAATACATTTTAAAAGTCACCTTCCCGACACTGGCAGCAGAACCATCACCCTCTTCAGCCTCTCCAACTCCTCCTCTTCACCCGTGTCTAGTCCCACGGGGGGAGACATTTTCCAAAACAAATCTACCTCACACCTCCTTACTCACCCTCGCTTGTTTGACGTTACAAGTTAGAAATGTGCAAATCGTCAGAAAACAAACTGTGCGTGAGATTATATAACGCTGCAGGGGGGGGGAGAGACGCTTTGTAACGAAACACATAAGTTATAACGTTAATATAGAGGAGATCGCAGCAGAGGAGGAAATGAAATCTGTCCTGGTCTAAACTCCCACACTCGGAGATCTGACCGGAAATACCAACACACACACACACAAATACACATAGATTCGGTTGCCTTGCTGTTTGAGGACATTACATTAACTTCTATTCATTTCCTAGAGACCAATCTTAACCTTAAACACAGTGACTACTTCCCTAACCTAAACCTAAACCCTAACTTAACCTGTTTTAACTCATATTTAAACTTTAAGCCACTTTACTGATCTAATAATAATGGAGGCAGGTACGGATTTTAGTCTCCACAAGGCGTTATTGGAACTGTATCTATGTATACAAGTAAGATTTAGATTTTTAATTCCATAAACATGACTTAACTGTGTCCACATAAGCAGTGTCGGGAAGGTGACTTTTAAAATGTATTCCCCTACAGATTACAGATTCCATACACCAAAATGTAGTTTGTAACGGAATCCGTTAAATTGCTTAAGGTGAGTAACATAATCTGAATACTTTGGATTACTTGATTTGCTGTAGAGAAGCAAAGACGAGGAAATAGTAACGTAAGATGATTTGGCTGATAAAAGAAAAGAAAAAGCCCAGACTTTACTGAACCAAATTAAAAATATTATTGATGGAAGAGGAGGAGACACGGTTCACGCAGCATGGTTTAGTCCTGTTAAATCCTGTTTGAGACATAGATTAGGCCTGGTTTTAGTCCTGGTTTAGTCCTGGTTTAGTCTTGGCTTAGTCCTGGTTTGGACCTGGTTTAGACTTGATTTGGACCTGATTTGGACCTGGTTTAGACCTGGTTTTAGTCCTGGTTTTAGTTCTGGTTTAGTCCTGGTTTAGTCCTGTATTAGTCCTAGTTTAAACCTAGATTAGATCTGGTTTAGACCTGGTTTAGACCTGGTTTTAGTTCTGGTTTTAGTCCTGGTTTAGTCCTGGTTTAGTCCTGTTTTAGTCCTAGTTTAGACCTAGTTTAGATCTGGTTTTTAGACCTGGTTTAGGCCTGGTTTGGACCTGGGTTTAGTCCTGGTTTAGACCTGGTTTAGACCTGGTTTGGACCTGGTTTGGACCTGGGTTTAGACCTGGGTTTAGACCTGGTTTTGTCCTGATTTAGTCCTGGTTTTGTCCTGGTTTAATGTCCGGCAATGAGTGGAATTACCAAAAAGAAAAAAGAGGGTCTGTCAAAATGTTTTTTCTTTCCTGTGGAGATGTTATTGCTTTGTCTGGGATGTTTCACAGTATGGCATTAAACCTTTCTATCTTCATGACAACCAAACCAGACCAAGTTAAAAGTCAGATCTGTGGAGAGGCGACCCCCGCTCACAGTCAGAACACTGCAAAAAACAAAATCTAGCCAAGTTAAGATTATTTGAATTAAGAAAGTTTTATCATGATTTGAGTGAATTTCACTTGACAAGTAAAATTTTCTGAGACTAGATAATTTTACTTGTCAAGTTGAATCGACTCAAAGTAAAAATTGTATTCATTTAAGTCATTTTTACTTACCTAGATATATTTAAAAAATGTGAAAACAGGAAAATACCTCTGTGTAATCCATTTATTTCAACCAAGTAACTGTAATCCAATTACCACTCACTGAAACAGTAACTGTAACTGAATACAGTTACTCATAATTTGTACTCTGATTACGTAACTCCGGTACATGTAATCTGTTACTCCCCAACACTGCCCATAAGAGGTAAACATTCATACCAAATGTAGATTTTATGATAACTATTGTAATGCTGATTTATTCTTAAACCTAAAAGGATTCTCTCTGGGCTGACTACTTAAAACCCATCACACTTTATTTTTATAGCAGTTTCCAAGCAGCAGGCAGTTTCCAAAGTGCTGCACAGAGATCATAAAAAGAAACAACAAAAGATATAACACACACGCACACAGACACACACTTTACCTAGCTCAGAACAAAGCAGCTCGTCTTGCCCTGGGGGGTACATTAAGATCAGATGTGAACAACATGCATGCCGGTCTCCATTGGTTAAAGGCTGAGGAGAAGCTGAAGGCCTCACTACTTGTTTTTATGAGGAATGTAATGGTATCAAAGCTTCCTCAGTGCTTACACAGTCAATTAATGTTCAGTTCTGGTACACAAGCCTACCCCACCAGACGTAATACCAGAGATCTCTTCACTGTTCCACGAAACAGAACAAAATCAGGTCAGTGCACGGTGATGTACAGAGCAATGGTTGAGAGGAATTCGCTTCCTCTTCAGATTACTGCAGCTAATAACAAATCAAGGTTTAAAAAAGAAGAGAAGAACTATTTTACAGCCATTCGCAAGTAATCAGTAATGTACCGTATTTTCTGAGCTATAGAATGGTCTGTTTTCTAACTTTTTTCACAAATAAACCGCACCGGACATTAAACGAAACACAACAGTTGGATGGGTCAGTGGGATTTTGTTTGGCGCCTTCAGTGTTGGGGAGTAACAGATTACATGTACCAGAGTTACGTAATCAGAGTACAAATTATGAGTAACTGTATTCAGTTACAGTTACTGTTTCAGTGAGTGGTAATTGGATTACAGTTACTTTGTTGAAATAAATGGATTACACAGCGGTATTTTCCTGTTTTCACTTTTTTTTTAAATTCTTTTCAGTAATTAAACTCATTGCCAGACACTAAACCAGGTCTAAAACCAGGTCTAAACCAGGTCTAAACTAGGTCTAAACCAGGACTAAACCAGGACCAAACCAGGACTAAACCAGGACCAAACCAGGTCTAAACCAGGACTAAACCAGGTCTAAACCAGAACAAACAGGTCTAAACCAGGACTAAACCAGGTCTAAACCAGGACTAAACCAGGTCTAAACCAAGACTAAACCAGGTCTAAACCAGGAACAAACCAGGTCTAAACCAGGACTAAACCAGGACCAAACCAGGTCTAAACCAGGACTAAACCAGGTCTAAACCATGTCTCAAACAGGATTTAACAGGACTAAATCATGCTGCGCGGACCGTGTCTCCTCCTCTTCTATCAATAATATTTTTAATTTGGTTCAGTAAACACTGGGCTTTTTATTGTCTTTTAGCCAACAAAACATCTTATGTTACGATATCCTGGTCTTTGCTTCTCTACAGCAAATCAAGTAATCCAAAGTATTCAGATTACGTTACTCACTTTAAGTAATTTAATGGATTATGTTACAAACTACATTTTGGTGTATGGAATCTGTAATCTATAGGGGAATACATTTTAAAAGTCACCTTCCCAACAATGGGTGCGTTCACGGTGACTCTGGGCTTTGTTCAGTTGTGGCGTGTAGGGAGGTGCTGTCTGGGACCGCTGGATTGTCGGCGTGTTCGCAGTGACGCAGTTGTTCAGTCGTGTCTAGAAGCGACACGTTGCACTCGCTTTTTCGGTTCGTTCCTCCGTTCTGTTCCTCGTCGGTGTGGAGTGATGAGTGTGACTGGGGGTGTTTTTTGCTGCGCGGTCGCTGTCTGCTCCGCGTGTGTTTATGTGTTCTGCGGGTGGTGTGGCTTTGTAGTTTACTGAAGTCGTACTGGGACACCCGAGTGGATTCGTGTATAGGGCGCTCTGGATTGTGGGCGCGCGGTCATTTTTTAATGGGGTTAGAGGCTTAAGAGCGCGTCTAATAGCCCTGAAAATATGGTATTGTTTTCAGAAATGATTTTTATGATTTTAATTTTTGTGTAACTGTTTTGTTTGTAAGTGTCTCATTTGTTGTTGTTCTGTGTGAAGAGTAGCTGGTGTCACGGACGTCAGCTAATTGGGAATCTGAATAAAAATCACATCAAAATACACAAACACACACAAACATGAGCTACCTATCTGGTCAGTCAGGACACTTTCCAGCTATAATTCAGTAAAATCCACTGGCTCTAAAAGTCTGAATTTGAGATCAGTTTAGTAAAAGTTAATTTGTCCAAAAGAAGCAGAAAGAGTCAATGATACCTGTGAGCTCCACAGTCATGGTGACCCTGCTCCCGTCCATCACCTTCTGGTCAGACAGACAGGTCACAAAGCGAGGAGCCTCACCCACGGCTCTGGACTCTGTCACCTTTGACCTCTGACCCTCGTACCGACCTGAAAAACACAAACACAGCCACGACATTTTATCATCTTGTCAATAAGACAACTGTCAAGATGCATTAAGTAATTTTTTGGTTGAGGTCTGTCACCTGCTTGTTTTCTAATAAGATGTTATTGCTGTGCCTGGAACGTTCCAACAGCTCTACCTTCACATTTATTCAATTACAGGTGGTTTTATTGCTCAAAAATACCTAGAAAAATAGACATTCTGAGCGGAGTTGCCTCTCCATAAATCTGGTAGATAAAGACATGCACGTTCAACAGAAATTATGATTACGCGCTGGGTCCAAAAGAAGAAAGAGATCCGCACTGCAGCTCCCTGAAGCTCCCAAATTTTCACGTCTGTGTTAATATACAAATGATGAATGTATGCGTATCGTGCATAATTTGTGCTGGATACTTTATTTGGCCTAAATGAAAACATTTTAAGCAGCCTAAACTTGCGGGCATGGTTTAATCTTGCACACATTTTAGACAATTCCTTTCCACTTTTCCATGTTTCAATAAAGTTTAAGAAAGAGAACATCTTGAGGACTTGAGGGCCGGAGATCGACAAAATATTACAGATGGGTCCGGTCAAGCGGTAACGGAGGGAAACAGGGGCAGATTTTTGACATTCAAATGTCTCTTATTCAGAAACTAGAGGGACTATTGAAATAAGTAAAGTATCAGAATGTAGGAAAGAGTTACACTCCAACAGGGTCAAGTTAAACCTGTGATATTCTTTCAAGTTGTTGACAAAAAATTTAAAAACTCATGTCGGTAACGGAGGGAATGAAATATGCAGCACTTTTTGGGCAATAAATCCAAACAGTGATAACTCTTGGTTCTCACTTACATATCCTTAACAAACTGGTTTGAATATTTGCTTCATATAGTTTTCTACCATATGGTACAAGATTAGGTTGAAAAACCTCTTACTTTTTGAGTAATTTTTTATTAAGAAAGGTCATGGTAACGGAGGGAAAAGTAACGGAGGGAAAATTGTACAAACAAGTAGAAGGTGCAGGATTTTACATAATTTGTCAACTTTTTTCTTCTGAATACTTTAATATTACTTCAAAATGAACGGAAACAATTTCTATAAAATATGTCAGTCCTTCCAAGCTAATTTTTATCATTTTAAATACTTTTTTTTTTTTTTTTGAAAAATCATGTACCTTCGTCAACAGTTCAAAGATGGAATAACACAAGATATGATGAAATACATCCATTTATTTACATGATTTGCAGGTCTTTGAAATTTGGGAAATAATTTTTGTTCCATGTTTCATACATGGTCTGTTTAAAACATATGGAACTTTAGAACCAAAAATGGTACAGAAAAAAGGTCAACAGTTTCATAAACTAGAGTACATATGTATCTGTTCAATACATTTTTATATCAGATGCATTAACTTGAATTTTTGGCCTTGCTGTTTACTTCTGCTTGACCGGGCCCAGATGCAGGCGGGTGTGGGATTCAAAATTACAATTCTTTGCGGGAGCGGGACTGCACAGTGCGGGTGTGGACGCGCAGACCTCTAATCTACACCAACAGCCCCTTTGACCACCTCTTCAAACCTGCTCTGAAATGCAGTAATTCTTGTATAATCTTGTTTCTCATTCTCATTATTAGTTTATTATGTTATTTACAAGTTAATTATTCCTCTTCCAGGCCAGTTCTCATGCCACAGTTCTCAAATTAAAATGCTGCAGTTGCAAAATTGCTCAGAAAAACGTCAAGGAAAATTTTGCCAAAAACTGTTCACAGCTCTGATTCGTCCCTCAAGTATAGTTTCCGTGACCTCCCCGAGCGCTTGTGTACGTCGCTGACAGTGAATGCAACATCAGGCCTGTGTCAGTGTTTAATAACAGAGGGACCCGGGCTTTATAAGGACCGCAGATCTGCTCCGGAGCAGGAAATCCCCCACAGGAGATTCCCACAGACAGACCCACTCGCAGTCATCCAAATGTCCTTCAGTTCAGTGGACACCAGAGAACATGGACGCAGAGAGAGAAAGAGAGTATTCCCTATTACGTACAAAAACACCAAACAGCTTCTAATCCATCTCTGCTTTCTCCTATTAAAGTGCCCAACTCTGGCGGTGGTGTTTTTTTAAGTTATTTGCATTGTAATTTATTTTTGTGTTGAGTTCAACTAGACTGTAACGGTCCGGCTCACTGTATTTATTCATGTTTGTATGAGAACTGCTCTGAGAATGCCACAAATGACTCGCCCTCTGGGACTAATAAAGTTTTTTTGAATTTGAATCTATTGATTGCATTGCACTGTTCCATTAAAACTGCGCCGCGTAACTTTTCTGGTGGAGGGTCCGTCAAATGCTTTTCCCCATGGAGATGTTGTCGCTTTGTCTGGAATGTTTCAAAGTACGGTATTAAACCTTTTTATCTTCATGGAGACCAAATTAGACCAAGTTACAGGTCAGATCTGTGGAGAGGTGACCCCGCTCACAGTCAGAATGCCTGTTTTTCTAGCTATTTTTTGAGCAGCACCTTCCAAGTAGTTCGCCAAAGGATTTCTGAATCATATGTATTGCACTGAAGAACAAAAAAATGTTATTTAAATGCCTATTACCATTTAAAACATATCATTTTGAAGCCTATCTTTCCATCTTTCTATCTATCTAATAAATGTATAATAGTTGCATTTATAGGCATCAAACTGTAACCCGTCTAATTTACTCCACTTCTTGTGAATGCTAAATTTTGCAGCTCTCTGGCATGTTCATTTTGTAAAGGTAGCTCAGAGGAAAAAAGGTTGGAGACCCCTGATGTTGGGTAAACGTAACTCCCGGTTAATTTCTCCAGTTAACAAGGTTAACAAAGGAAATATTCTGTCCATGAAGAATTTATCCACAATTACCAAGGTAAGAAAGACAAAAATGTAAAGGCAAACAACGTCGAGCATTAGTGAACTACTGAGTTATGGTCATGAATATAACAGACGTAATAAGTAATTCATTAATAAGTAACTTGTTAACACAGAATTAAAACTAAAAATCGATTTCATGATGTCGATATTGGCACAGACAGGGAGATTTGTGCAGTTTAAATGTTAGACATGTAATCTGTGAACATCTGTAGCATTTGAACTGCACAAATCTGTCTGTCTATGCAAATATCGACATCATGAAATAGATTTTTTATTTTAATTCTAGAATCAGTCTGAGTTACTTCTGTTTTATTCATGCCCATAATGTTAATTTTGCTCAGGAGTTCACTAATCCTAGTCGTTGTTCGCCTTTACGTTTTCGTCTTTCTTATCTTGATAATTGTTCATGGACAGAATATGTTCTTTGTCAACCTTGTTGGTTGAAGATTTGGTGATGGGGCAGATTTACGAAGCTGGTGGAAAATACGCAAGACATTTCCACAGATATTTTGCCATAGAAAACCATTAAGTGGGAGTTAAGTTTACACACTTCTGACCATTGTGAAAAAAGTCTATGTCATCCTGTGGGAAATACCAGGCAGAGCAATGGCATATCCACAGAAACAATCAGGTGACAGACCCCCAACCAAAAAGTTACATAGTGCACCTTTAAATACTTAAATATCTCTCTCTCTCTAAATGTCTAAAAGGTAAATGCACAAACGAATCTGAACTAGCAGGAGATCATAAACCCCAAAGGATTTAGAAGTTATTTGATTCCTCACATGATTTATGTTCTGTTATTTCAACTCTCTGCCCTTTTTGTTTAGTAAAAAGTAGCTCTCTTAACTAAGACACCACCGAACCATTAATCGACTAAATGACTAAAGGTCTACAGCCGTACAGTATGCGGCATGATAACACGGTCCCCTCACTAACCAACATCACATGATCAGATTCTTTCCCAGGAGGATGTGAGCTCTCATTGGCTGGTGTTCTCCATGAGCGACAACTTCCTGCAGTAAAATCTTGATTAGTCTGAATCCGAGGCCAGAGGACATCGGAGAAACTACAGACAAACTCACACGGAGCAGCTAAATAAAGCATATGTAATATCACTAAACACCACAACACTAAAAGAATGTCTCTTGTAAACTGAGCATTTCTGTTCATGTTGGGGATGTCAAGATTATTCAGGTCAAAATATCACTGTATAAACACAAAAGGTCTAGTATGTAACATTTTAGCCCAAAAATGGACTAAAATAAAAGCCTGTTTTTTCTTAAGGTGATTTTTTATTGCACTGAACAACTTGCATCTCCACAAACCCGACCCGTTTGATTTCATAGACATTTTGGTAACACTTTATAATAACTACACCTTATTTAGCCTTAATAAAACATGAACAAAGACTTAATTAATAATGAACAAAGACTTAATTAATAATGAGTCACGCTTAGTCACTACTTAATTAGCACTTAACTTGCACTTAATTCGCCTGTGCTGCAAATAGTTACTCATAATTATTTCATACTTAATTACTCATGAACTAACCATTTGAACCAACCGTTATATTTAAGTACAAATTTGAGCATTTATTAATCATTAGTAAACTATGAGAGATTGATTCACTAATAATGCAATGCAATGATAATTCCGGCAGCTGTTATCTGTTAGTTACGTCTTTTTGAGAGCTTTTCTAACGTGAAGAAATAATTATGAGTAACTATTTACAGCACAGGAGAATTAAGTGCAAGTTAAGTGCTAATTAAGGCAGTAATTGAGTAGTTACTAAGCATGACTCATTATTAATTAAGTCTTTGTTCATGCTTTATTAAGGCTAAATAAGGTGTAGAAATTATAAAGTGTTACCGACATTTTGCTTTAAATGGCTATAATCTCCAACAGTATCGCAAATAGAGGAATTTAATTTGTCAACTGGGTAAAACTTTATTTGGTTGAAGACAGTTTCACAGCTCATCCAAAGAGCTTCTTCAGTTCTGGTCGGAATGCTGGTGGATACTTTCTTAACACTTCCTTATATCTGTCTGAAGGGAGGAGCTAACTACAATGAAACTCCTCTGGAACTAACACATCTACTTATTTACAGTTTCTGTTA